TTTTTAAATGCCACCTGCATGGGACAGTAACACATGATTTACTCACTTGTTTGAGGGAACCAAGACAAGGGAATAGCTCTGAAGTCGTATATGCTATTCTGATTCTATAAACATCTGATGGCTAAGCTAACCAAGCCATAAAACTGATAAAATGGTAAGTGGTATTTTTCCGTCGAAAGGGTGTAGTACAGAGGCCAGACTGTGGGTCATGTATACTGTAATGTTTGCCTCAAAGCTCTTATTGGCAGTTCATTTACAGCTCATTTCATCCATAAAGCACAAACCTACTTTAACTCATCACACCCAGAAGCATCTTTATTGCTTACTTCCTGACTTTTTATACCACTTTGGATCTCTCATCAGAGGTCCAAGCATCATGCTAAACAACAATTTACCCCCGACTGGAGCTCTGCAGGAACATAAGACCTTTTTAATCAAGTCTACAACATAATTCCTTGTTCCCTGTCTGCTCTCTGGCTCCTCTCGACTAGCACAGGGGGGAGAAGGGGGTTACGGAAGGCTTAGCCGGGATATGATGTCCCTGCCTTGGATCCTCTCTGAGCATCTGATGAGCTGGAGTATAATCGCCACAGACTCCCTTTATTCCTTCAGAGCCAGGGATTCTGGGTAAATTCCCTCTTTCCCCCCAAAAAAGAAATATGACCAATGATGGATAACCTGTGGAAGGCTGTTTTATCCTTCTGTGATGCTGCAACCATCCAAGTTATGGTAATATACAAATGAATTGCAAGATTGCAAGGTTGATGTTATGACAATTTAATTACATGAATTAGAACATTTAAGGTTATGTGCTTAATTAATGCACCAAAAAAAGTCTCAAATACATTAACACTGAAAGGGTTTGTAGATATTCACTGAGAGTTACAACATTTCTGACAATCATGTAGTTTCGTTGTCAAGACCACACTAAACGAGTACAAGACATACCAGAGACCAGAGTGCTCTGAGAGCAAGACAAGACCAAGACACAAGACCAAGACATTTAGTGATCAAGACCGAGTCAAGACTGAGGTCAAGGCAGGGTGAGACTGCAATGAAACCGTTAATACAAAATGTAATATTATTTAAACTGTGCAATAGTTGTGTATATATTCCATGTTGTCCTCACTCTCTGCACTTTTGTAAAGCACAACTTATTTCTCATTGCTTGATATTTTAATTGAATTACTGTTTTATTCATATTTGATTGTATATAACTATATTTTTAGTGCAACTGCAACGACCGAATTTCCCTCCGGGATTAATCAATCTACAACAAAGTGCAAATTTGTCTTCAGCTCAACAAATCCAAGCAATAACATCAGTCAAGCTAACATTTAGCTCGTGGATTCTGAACAGTAGGCGTTAAAGGCAGTTCTTGTCAATATGATTGGCTAAAGTCTGGAATCGTGAGTGTGTAGGATTAAGATCAGAACCATTTACTTCCCATCTCATGTACAATAGTATGCATCATTTAAGATCAAATGCTTGTTGAACTTCTTCAGATAAAAAAGCTTTTTGGTCCTGTCTAAGTTTGATATATCCGAGACAAGTACTCAGTGAAAAACAAGGTCACACATGTCAGTCAACGGTTTCATGAAACAAGATGTCAAGATGCAAAGGAAAAGCTTTTTGTTTTAATGCAAATATGCACACACAAAAACAAGGTCTGATAACTTCCAAAAATATGAAAGAAATGTTCAAATGAAAGGGTGACTTATCTCTCCCATGAGGTCTACACACATACAAACACACACTTTCTCTCTCTCTCTCTATATATATAGATATATATTCACCTCTGCATGTTTTAAGACACTGAAAGACCTGACAATATGAACTCTTGTGAAACTTTGTGAACATGAAAGAGCACGGAAGACAAACAACTGTGAGACTGTGTGCTTTAACATGGCATTTTTCTCTGACTTCACAAAACCATATCCAGGCTTTGAACTCAGTTTGCAGGGCTACAACACGAGGGGGAGGAAAACTTCACAGAAGAAAAGAAACTGTAGCAAGTTGAGTCCTGGCATGTTTAAAATCTACTTTTTGCATTTATCATGACCCACAAAATAGGGCAGGAGCGTGTTAACGTGATCTGGAAACTACCTTCAATGTTCTCTGAGGACAACAGAGGGTCTAATCTGGTGAGTGAATCAGTGAATTTTTAGCAATTTAAACTTTAACCCCAGTCATAATGATAATGTCATTAACTCAACTGAAGCTATCAAAGTCTGGCACAACATACAAAATTATGGGTGCAATACTTGATCCTAATGCAAAAAGAGTGGGTACCCCTAGCACTAAGACACAAAACAGGTCTACCTATCAATAGACAGTCACTTAATATTCAGTATGAGTTGTTTTTTAGTTTAAATGGAATCCTGTTAGCTTCTGAATTAGTAGTTTTAAACTGCCCAGAGTTTGCATGATAGTCTCTGGGGAAAAAAAACCTCATCACTATAATTTCCATGATCCAAACACTAACAGAACTAGACATAATTAAATGAATAAAGAAAAAGACCTGATCATTTATCAATCACATACATCCAATATATCTAGAAATGATTTGAATAGCACAAAATGTTGGTATTTTGGCTTCAATTTTGTACAACAAGGGGAGCTGGTCATGTGTTGTCCATATTTATATTTGGTCCATGCAAAAAGTCTTTGCATGGACTGTTAAATAACTATCTGAAATAATATTATCTGACACTTTATGTTTCCTCCTGAGATGTGTGAGTATTTTTTTTTGCTATGATCAGTTAAAAAAATATGCATTTTGATTATGTATGTGTGTGTCAATGTGTGTGAGGATAACTGAAGTCTATGCCTTAAAAAATTTACTGCTTGGACCTTTAAAACCAGAATCATATGCAGCAGCCGTTCAGTGACCTCTGATTACGACAGCATATCTCAGCTGGTGATGCCAGCGGCCATGGCATTCACATTCAGGTTCTAATGAAAGAATAAGAAATCAAGCTGTATACTTCCTTATTGGGGGGGGACGACGCTATACTGTGCTGTTGTGCTGATTAAGGGAGTGCAAAGCAATCTACCGCAAGCCAGCTTACCATTGCCCCTGTGACAGGGTATTTAGAAGAGTAGTGAACTGCAAGAAAGCTCAATTACATCCTCCCAGCATGTACTGCATAAATCACGGTAAATCCTTTTTCAAGCCTGTCTATCGGAAATAACTGGAATGCTACGGCAGAAAACATGGAGCTGGCTGTATAACTCAGAGGTGAAGAAGAAGAAGAGCAGCTTAGTGGGGAAAAATGCAGAGTAATGCACACTTTTGCAAAAGCAACTCCCTTTTTGGCAGAGCCACACCCAGAGGGAGGCAGCATGATCACTGGAAAGCTGCTGATAACTCTGTGCGAGAAAGAAAAAGCTGTTTTGAAGTAGAACATTTCAAACAAGAGGCAGTAACTTGAAACATGCAATGAATGCAGAAGAGCTGTATCATTGGGCCTCATTCACTAATATGTGGGTAGAAATGTTCTTACTTTAATGTTCTTAAAAAGGGTCGGCTGCGCTCTCTTCTGGAGGCACCGGCTGCAATTTGCTTCAGCAAGGCATGTTCCCTGCATGCTCTTAAATAGGCTCCAATTAATCAGCTTGTTTTGGTTACAGATGCGATATTTCATATCAATAATATTTGGAGTGGTCGACGATTAGATTTAAGATTAAAGGATGATAAGGCTAATATTTCATGATTATTTAATACATTTAGTAAATACATTAGTTAATTCACATTTTTAATGCTTGTCATTTCAACATTTGTAAAAAAAATATATATTTATATAGCTTATATATATTTATTTACTGAATGTATTTTTAATATGTCATCATTTAGTTAAAGAGTGTGTGTTAACATTTTCTGAGAAAGCTGGTCAATCCTTTGTGCGTATGCATGGTCTGAGGAAGTTCTATTTTTGTTCGCGGAGTAAGAATAAATTCAAGTAAGAATACATTGATGAATCCCAGATTTGTGCTTCAAACGTACGCACTTGTTAGTGAATGAGGCCCATTGAGTAGAGCAGACATGAATTCAGACAGTGCCATTTATGTGACTTTTAGCTTTATTTTTTGGAAATAAATAAATACAGTATGCACAAACAAACTATTAAATCACAAACTGCTTGATAAAAAAAAAATGTATAAATGGATGATATCTGAAAGCTGCCACTTTAAAACGTTGGAGCTTTTGAAGCAGTCTCATACTGAGTTTCAACATTATTATGTGTATGTTCCCACCCCACGATTCATAGCTGTATTAATTCATGAAACGCTCATGACAAAAGGGACAAAATTGCCGTATCTCTAAAGCAGCTATTGATAAAGCGATCCATTCTTAAAGGATAGTTTTTGTATCAAAATGTCACATTCTGGCATATCCAAATGTCACCTCCCAAGGTTAGCTCACCATCTGTCTAGCCTTAGCGGTGCTTTTGAATTAATAGCCATTTAAAAGAAAGGTTATTATTGAAATCAGTTTTTAAAAACAGCTAAGTCAAAGTATGGAGGAGAGGCCAAAGGTTGCTGTACTAAATTAATTGACTTTTCTTCCTTTTATTCATCTTTTGGAAAATAGTTATTGATGTTTTTTGGGCCTCGAACAGACGACATGTGACTGGCATTTGTAGGGGAGATGTAAAGGGCATTATAATATGATGGATGGGGCGGTTGAGATACAGCTGCAGATGCTGATAAGATAGCAGAACAGCAAAGCAGAGGCTGTACGTTTTCCCAGATCAAACATGTGACAGGAGAAGGGCTCTGACAGGTGTCTGTGACAGCCCTGCGCTGTCTGTCCTCATGGACACCCATCAGCTGCACTATCTGATTAAAACTGGCCATCCACAGTCGCTCTTAACCTTAGATTACAAGACCTCGTTCTTTCTCTCCCCGATCATTCCTGCATGCAAGCTCTTTCTCTCTCACACACGCGCACACACATGATATCTGAGAGGGACAGGAGTGGATGGGGCATACAGTACCTTGCGTGTTGACTGGGTTGGTGGTGGGTGTGGGGCTAGTGGTGGGAGCATCTAGATGAAAAGAATAAAAATAAATAAAGAACATGTGTAAGAAATAAAGGACGACAAGAGTAAAGAAAGAGACAAAAGTCATTGAAGGTAAAAAGCTGTGCTGTAAAAAAAATAACACCATGCAAAGTTTTTTTGGTTCCGTTGTGTTTGTTTGAGAAACCACAGGAAGCTTTGAGCTCAACGCTAACGTGAATGTGACAATGCTCACTTAACTATTGGTATTATTTTAATCGTTGTTACCGTGGTAACTTGTGCTGCATTTGAGGCAGAGTAAAAAGTCAGATTTTTCCAGTGACCTTCAAGTGTTACAGGTGGACAACTCCAAACATAAACAAAAAACATGGCCGACCAATACAAACTGATGTTTCCCTTTCTTCCTGCAAAAGTCAGTAAATGTTGAGCAACTCTTTTTATGCTTTTTTTTTTTTTTTTTTACACTTTTACAGTTAACACTTTTTTTAATTTTTGAAATGAAAGAAGGTAACAATATGTAAGTACCTAATAACACTTGAGTTACATTTTGTCAGTTTGTGTGAATAATAGGTTTAATAGGTTTTATAGGATATGAGGTATTATTTCAGTTTAATAAAGAAAAATGTTTGATGTTGCTTTTAGTTGATGGTTTACAATTTTACAATCTGTACTATCATTGATGCTTCTTTTATCGTTCATCACATTGAAGTTTGGGGAAGCTATTTAATCCAAATTTACAAGAAGAAACTCGTGTCGTAACATTTTGTCAGTGAGAAGTTGGAAATGTTTGCATTCCTGGAGGTCTGAATTACATCATTGTGTCTGCATCCTATAACATTTGCTAATCAGGAGGATTATGAGAGTGACTTGAATGTGAAGACTTAATTTATCAGCAAGTAGTCTACTGATCCACAGTACACTTGACATAGATTAATGCTTACTGTATGTGTTGAGGTTTTTATTTTCCTGTTTCCATCTTACCAATGGATCTTAATATTTAAAAAGTATATGAATGTGCCCTCTTTGCTCCTATGACTTATCCTAAAAACTGTTAAATGTTCTTTCAACTGTGTAGTTATGCTGCTGCATGTCTAAGTTAGTATACTCCTGTTAGGGCACCATGGGCATCAGTGCCATCAAACTCATGCAGATCCATCCAATAATTGTGGATATATTTCACAACCAAAAAACACAATTAAAAAAAAAAAAAAAAAGAAGAAGCTCTGGGTGGGGCAAGATAAAAAATTGCCATGAGGAAAATCATTGGCCTTTCATCATCTGGACACCATGAAAACATGATGACCACCAATAAAGCTGTTAGGGTCTTAACATCAAGATCAAAGTGGTGGAATTGTACAGAGCGCGCTTGCTATTTCCTTGTGCTGATAGTATGTCATTGTTCTAAGCTATTGTAATTATTTTTTGACTTATTTTCTAATTAGCTATGAATAATAATGCCTGACACTCACAGAGAGGTGTTGCTATTTTCATCAGCCTCTCTCAATAATTAAGTCAAACGACAAATTAAACCAGCTTGGTGGCCTCATGCTGCAGCATCCTCCGCCCCATACTGTACTGATTAGACATGTCACTTGGCCACTCCACTAAATATTCAGAAAGACAAAACGGAGGACATTTCAGGTATGCAATGGTACTAAAGAGGGCTGAGGGGAATATGCGGCTGGCTCTGGTGCTGGAGGGGAGATAGCACAACCCCTTGCTGGGGCGCCGACACAGCGGGGGAAATTGGCTGGCTGTCTCTATGCCTTTACTGGCTGCACTCCATCAAAAGACAGCAGTGGGGGACCACACACTCCCAAACTAATGATAAAACATCAAGGACAGCATAATGTTGCTGCCGGGGATGGAGTGTATGGCGGAGGTGGTGTTGACGGTGGTAGGGGGGTATCGGGAAGAGATTCTGCTTTGACAGTATTTGAAGAGGAGGGTGGGCTAGATTTCTTTCCCAGTGACCGAAGGCGGTCTGATAGCTGAAATGTCAATGTCTGGAAGAGGGGAAATTGGCCATTCAGAGGAAGAGGGGCTTCACAAAGGCCGGGATAGGATGTGGCACATATAATATCCAGGCGAACAAGAATTCTCCATGGGCAATTTCCAGGCTGGATGACTCGGGGCTCTGCATTATGAGGGCTGAAATATGAGTGCATTTCGGATAGGCCATATTTTCAGGGAGCATTTGTATCAGTGAGGTATTTGATATGAGAAAATTTAAGCATAAAATGAAACAATGTAGGAGAAATTGTTTATCTCTGCCTGCTTAAAGCTGCTTGCCAACACGACAGCGGGGAGGAGGTTTTGTTTTTCTTTTGTCTATTTGTTTTCTCTTGCTTAAAAAGCAGTTTGAACATGAAGTTTTAGATAAATTCCTAAAAAAAACCAGGGCATCGCATGTCTGTGAAAGATACGGTTCTCGCCTATTTGATATTGAAAAAATGATAATAATCCACTTTATAAATAAAACATTATTCAAAAAAATCACAGATTGATTTGCAACAAAAAAGTGCAAAAATAAAAGAAGAGAATAAAACAGAAAGACAAAACTAGGCACACTATATCACACAAGATTGATACAAACATAAATAATAACACATATAAAACAACCAATAGGCAGTTTTTAAGAAGTGTTGTTTAGTACCGTAATTTATAAGAAAACAGTTTGCAGCCTTGGATATAAAAAATGAATCTTCAAGCCGATATGTTGAAAGTTGCTCCTCTCGTTGTTGCACATTTTGCTGAATCAGTGTGATTCACAAGGACAGTTTCACAAGAGTCCTTCATAAGAACAGGGAGACTCGTCAGGTCTTTCAGCTCGTCTTAACAGAACCCTGATAAACCCGGAATTCACAGTGATGTGTGAATCTTTGACTTCCTGTTTATGAAAGATTTATAGGTCAAAAACTCCGCTGTAGGCTAAGCTGCTACGGTAAAGGCATCATTTTCTCTCTCTCTTGCCAACAGTCAGTATGTGAGTTATAGCAGCAGATCACCTCTCTGACAGAGAGAGGCCACTCTCTCTGGCCGACTCTCCCAAACACCTCACACCAGCTCGATTCACAGCCCAACATGGACACACAGGCGTAGAGAACGCCATGACATGCCTGTTTCTCAGCCTCACGTACAATACAGGCACCACAATAGGACTTGATTTGATGTGGATTGACATCTGCCTCACACCTGTCCAGGCTGCCGTGCAGTGAAAGGTCATTAGTCGTTTTGAAATAGGAAGAGCTATGAAGGACCAGCAGTGGTAGAGGGTGGCAACACTATCAAAGAGAGGGAGATGGAAAATTCAGCTTTGTTCTACTTACTGCAAACTAATATTTATCAAGAACAAAACAGCTCGTTAAAATAATGGGTTGCATGTGGTTGGTTAAAAAAAGCTTTTTCTGACAGGCATGTGGAGGCTTTAACTGGGGGAAAAAAAAATCAAAAATTAGGAAAACTTGACGTTAAAAGTTACAATTTTTACTTTTATAGGAAATGTGGGAGGCTGATGTAAGTGCAGGGACAAAGGTTATGAGGTCCTGATAAAAAAAAGGGGAACAAATAGAGCACAGGTTCCTCATGCTAAGACCAATCCATGTTGCAAAGCACACTCTAATTTAGCAGCTGTAGCAGGCGTGATTAGTCTGGGACAACACACCCTCACATGGACCACAACATGAATGAAAAGAATGAAAAAAGAAGAAGTGGGAGCGCAGACATAATTATACACGGTTATGAGCACTTTTTTTTTTTTTACAAATCTTTTGTGTCTCATTACTCACACCGGAGCAACAGTGTTTAAGAGAGATGAGTGAAATCTGAGGACCGGAAGTTACTGATTGAAGACATCAGGGCTAAAGACACAGAAATATCCTTTAGGTAAAAAAGAACCGGGAACATTTGCCTCCCATTGCTTTTCATTCAGTCGTTAAGTGTTAGCGGAAGCAAATGACACATGAATGTTAAGGCGGAAGGCACAGACATCATTCATGAATTCTTAAAGGCCTGCAGGCAATTCAGTGAAACTTTTGAACTGTTAGAATATTATATTAGTGCTCCAAAATGTTTGAGATTAATGCTGCATCCACTAGGCCTCAAGCAAACAGTAGAGGAAACACTGGATATAATTTTTAGTGGAAAAAAGAAGGGGCGGTCAGCAACAGAAATTGTGGACAGCCTTGGCTTTTTGCAGTCCTCTGTCACATCATTCATAACCAGATTACGTCGCTACCTCAAACAAGCCGAGGCGTGTACAGAAGTTTTTGTCTGGTGGTGGACAGGGCACTGATTTATGAAGTGGTGGAGAGAGTGGAAGAGAAGTCTAAAAAGCATTCATATAGCGTTTCTGTCTCGACTGATCATATCTACTTTAACTCCAAACACTAAGGTATCATACAGTTGTTACATCACTTCGTAAAAGATTTCTAATTAAAATGGAAATGCAACAGAGTAGCAACATCTTCCAATGTCTGTTTAGGCTCTCAGTCATCCAGGTTATGGTAAATTTGAAGCTTGATCCAAATGCACCTGGACTGGCATAATGACATAAAATCTTTCTCCGTAAAAGGATATAACAATACCATGGCAACTTATCATCACTTGTGTTTTTTCTGCTTTCCTGCATTGCCATTGGACTATTTGTTTTGTCTTATCTGTGCCTTGTTGTCCATCTGTCATCTTCCATTTGCCTGAATTCATTAAAATCCAGTATTCCCAACAAAAGAATACAATCTGAGGTGAACCACGGTGAATCTCTCTTTCAAAAGAACCTTAACACAACAATTATGAATTAAGTCTTGCTAGCTTGAATAAGTGTGCCTTGAGTGAGCTATTTGCCAGCATATGCTGTCCTTTTGTTTGGGAGCGATCATTATGGGCCCATTGGGAACAAGCAGATGTCATCATGTGCCTGGCAGAGCACGATGATGAATAACCATGGGGCGGCAGACTTATGAGAGTCTCAGGAAACCCATGTCAAAGTGACAAAGTCACACGTGTCGCACACATTTCTCTGAACATACAACCTGCAGAGCTGCTCCGACACAAATCGGTGTATGTTCTATTAACTGCATGCTTGGAATTTGTCATACAAGGGTAAATATTTCAGAAATTAAAAACTGGAATACCAGAGCTCCTCTGAGTGCTTTTGAAGCAGAGAGATTTGGATTCCTGATTTTGTATTGTATTTGAAGTCCAGTCTATCAGACATTCCTAAAAACTGAACAGTTCTTTTTATCCTGCAAACACAAACACCAACAACATCTGCGAATTTTAATCATTCAGCAGGCTGTTTCTGAAGTTTCAAGGTGCAGAAAGTCGGTGCCAGTTTAAGCTTACAAAGTCAAGCAACTGCATTAGAGCTGCTCCCACCAGACTCCCTGTTTTTCTCCCTTCATTTCTCCTGACTCTGACAGGTTTGTTGACGCCTCTGCCCGAGACCTTGTCCCTCCATTAAAATCCTATTCACTGCTCACCCTACAATCGGTGAGATGGCGTTGACGTTAAAAGCATTACGAATGCATTTATTTTCACAAATGCACATTTTCAGCAACTGTCATAAGAATTTGTCAGCCAGACTGAAAAAAAAAAAATATACACTGCTGTTTTTTTGACACACAGTTCATGGCTGTCAACACAACCTTAACAAGGAGACTGAGTAATAATCAAAACAATAACCTGCAATCGGTCTCTCGCACAAAATCCACAATGAGCCTGTTTTCAACAACAGCTTTGCTTAAAAACATTACATCTCAGCTCTTGTCCTTATCCAACCCCACTGCTTTCAGCAAGGTTAGCTTAACAAACAAGTGTTCTTTCAGAGGCCAAATCCAAACCACAAGCTTTAAATGAATATGAAATATTGGCATTTTTTCTGTAGGATAACCCACCAGGGTTTGAATGTTTTTATGTTTGTTGTTTCAAAATGGAACAGTCGTGTCTGATTGCAGTGTGAACGATCAACAGGTGTTAAAAAATGCCTTTATGTCCCATGTGCTCCTTCTGCAAAATACAGAGTTCAAAATGTTATAAATAACACCTAAACTTTCTCACTCTGAAACGCATATTTTTTCAGTTTCTGGTTGAAACATCTGGACCAATATTTATTAACTTTACTGTTAATTTAAAATCAGTGTCTGGGTCGAATTGATCAAGATTGGATGGCGGGTGCTAATAGCTCCAAAATTGTGCACCTTTTTTCACTTCGCTATCTGCTCCAGCTTAGGGTCTAATTAACTAAGCATATAACGCAGCGCTAGTGATATTAACGTGCGAACACACCCACATAGTAGTTAGTCTGTACAGTTTGCTTTTGTTTTGCATCTGAAAGTCAAGAAAAGCTGTCTGCATCTTAACTCCACACTGAGTTGCATCTCATGCAGACCGAGCTGTTTTGTCCACATCAAAAATCACGAGGAGTGGAGGGTAAACATCTTCAGGGTTTATTTTGATACAGACTTGAAAAATGTAAAATGAATTTCAAAGTTTTAAACAAAGCTTCCTACCTGAACGTAGCAACAAGGGCAACAACTAAAAGAAAACCTCTTGGTTTTTGTGAATAGACGGTGTCTTTTTGATTCATTTGTACAGGTTTAGCAGGCACAGAAGCAGCACAATCCTTTTATGAATCAGCCCTAAATGTACACATCAAGTGCTAGGGTTGTGCAGAGATTATCTTTAACTGTTCAACCTAACAATTATCTGTATCTGTATTGGGATATAAAACTGGAAGTGGGCGTGGTTTACACCTGATGTGTATTTTAATACAACAACTATCATAAAGGATGAGACAATTGCGCTAGAGGCCTTCCACATTCCAGCTTTTTTTTTTTTTTTTTTTTTAAAGTTGCAGATACTGTAGCTGTGGAGTCACAAAATCATGCTTGGACATACATATCTAAAACTCAGACTTCAGGTGAGCACAGTTTCTCTTTTTCAGCAGATGAATGTGAAAGCAGCCTTGTACTGTCAAACTCTGCACATACATCATTCTGCAGAGTGAAGGTCAAAAATCTGAGTGAAGCTAAAATAAGCGAAACACATACTTCACACTGAAGCTGCAAAATAATATATTTTTGGACATATTACTTGAGGTTTTAAACTGGAGATTCACCATTATTCCTAGTTTTTTGGTTTTGTCATTGGCAAGCAATGCTCTTGGCACACAGGCAGAAACAAATTGAAACTTGGGAGCAAAATATTAAATCCTCTTCTGGACAGCAGGGAGCAAGCGCTCCAAGGAGAGAAAGCTTAACTCACCAACAATGGCTGCACCGGCTTCAAATGTATTATCCCACCCTTGCACTTATCACCCCTGCTAACCACCACAAAATAGGAAATTATGGATCCACGGATTGTGTTCTCACTGACATTGTGTAACATTATTTCTAAATTATTCTGTTCGTTTTGATTTCATCAATTTAAACCTGTTACTTCCAGCTGTTTACTCCCTGGAGATTCAAGTGCAAAGATGCCTGCTGCAACTCTAGACAGCAAAAATGTTTCCAATAAAAAGTTTTACTGCTTTTGTCTGATTACAGCCAAATTTGTTTTGCCAGTTTTTTCATGCAATGCTTTTTGAGTATTTGGCATCTTTCCATTGTGGTATCGTGGTCTGCTGATAGTGCCATGACTGACAGTCAATATTAAGTTTTAAAGAGGAACATCCATTGAAGAGCAGTTCAAACCAGGGGAAACTTACTGTCCTCTGCATTTAAAGTCAGGTCCTGGGAGAGATGGTCCCTCTATTGCCCTTTACGAGTTTGGCTGCAGAACGCATTGAAATTCCACCCACTTCAATATAAATCAACAGATCCAAAGCCCGGCTCTGGCGTAGAAATATGAAGTTGAATTTCTGCCATGAGACCTAATTCTCACAGCCAACGGGGTAGTCATAGTCAGAAAATCTTTTCTTGTTTTGGTTTTGGTTTCTGTCTTGTCTTCTTTGTTTTAGTTTGAGAACTTTGGACTCTTGCCAAGACATTACAGCAAACATGACAGTGGAGCCAACAGCCAGTTAGCCTAACTTAGTTAACATTGATCACACAGCTTATCCTAGCTCTCTGAAAGTACCACATTTTTGCAAATTTGGAAATTAAACCTGTCTCACTATACCACATTATACTTATCTCTTTATTCGTATACATAAGGTATTGGTAGCTTGACTTTGTCACATTTAAATAGACTATTGCTAGTTGTTTCCACCTCTAAAAAGAAAGGATGTCAGGGGTTCAATTTGGGCAATAAATGAGCAACGAGCAGAGAGATCACAGAGAGTTAATATTGTATGAGGGTGATGCTTTGTTTTTTTTTAGGCTTGCACAAAGTACTTTAATCCAACATCCATACAATTATCCCAGGAGGGAGAATACTTTAACATGTGTGTGATGTCATATGAGTCAGCCTTAGCTGGGGCTGAAAGCTAATAGTTTTGGAACATATTTAGGCAGGGGACAGATTGTGGCTACATAAGCAACCACAAATACAACACACATGTATACCCTCCTAAACTGTTGGTGGTAGTTTTGTTGCATTGTGGGAAAAGTAGGAGCAAGGATTTGTGGAATAATTAAAATGATAGATGTTGTTCTGCTGCATCTGTTTTGATCCCTTTGGTTGTTCAAATGACCATCATGCGTCAGGTAATGTCAATGCTAAATCAAAAGAAGTTTCTTTTCAAAGTGGCTATGAGGAGCTAATGCCTCCCACAGACGGGAGAAGTGATTAAAAAGTTCACTGCACCTGGTCAGGAGGTTTTTTCCAAAACTAGCACAGGTTGTTTTCTATTCATAAAAGCTGAATGACAGTGAAGTGACTTTAGTTACAGGAGGTATGTGTAATGTTCCTGCTACTGTACACCTGGCTCTGCCCCCCCCCAAATGGCAACTAAAAATAACAAGTTAAGATGTACTAAAAAATTAATAAAATACCATCAAAATGTATGCATGTGCAGACAGCGAGGTGGCAACAAGAAAATCTTCTTGGTTTATTTTCTTTAAGGAATTAAACAGAAGATGTTTGTCAAAAGTCACATTTTTAAGTTCTAACACAAGAAAACGTGCCACATTGAAATGCAAAGAAAGTCACGAGCAGCCTGTGCAAACATGTGAATGGATATGTAAAAAGCCAATCATAGGTTAAGAGTTTTGCTTTGTACCAGGGGTGGCCGATCAGATTCTAAGGCAGTCCAGTCCAGGCCACCCCCCCCCCCCAGGTTCATGTCACCATGCCTACCACTAACTACCACTAAAAATATCCCTCCTTCTGTTTCAATTATTATAATCAAAGCCACTTTATTCACTACTTTTTACAGTAACTGTAAGAGCTAGAAAAACATTCAAATTTCTTTTTCTTTTTCCCACTCAACCCCCCTGACTGTTACATAATACTCTTTTATATATTTCTCAGGAATACAGAGACTACAAATCTTGGCCTTGGCATAACAACATCAACTACAATGAATTATAATACCTACCATATACAAAGAGGACGTAGTCATCATAGGCATCTCCCACTGCATTGGACGCCACGCAGCGATAGGTGCCGTTGTAGGACTTGTTGAGGTTCTCGATGTAGAGGTCAGTGCCGGTGACGACGGCGTGAGGCGGCACATCCTCATCTACTCTCAGCCAGTTGATCTGATGGGGACTGGAGAGCATAAATACCACACACATCACTCAAGCGCTGTCTGTCCACGCTAGAAATCTGAAATAAAGGTCAAATCTGAGAATGTCTGAGCAGGGCCATCGGCAGGCCCCGTCTAATGATGTATTTTACCCAGCATGCTAACAACTGGTAACATTTAAATGGTACATTGAATTGTAAAGGTTAAAGGGGTGCTTGGACTGTTAGAAAATGGGTATAGAGTGTAGAGTATGAAACTCAAACACATTTCCAGTGTGTTTCAAAGTGTGCGAAGTGGGTACATCTGGGTGGATACTCACTGTGGTTTTCCTTCTGCGATACAGGTCAAATCGAGATTGTCTCCTTCTCTGGGTAAACCTTCAGGATATGTCACCACAATCTTCACTTCTGGTTTATCTGGAAAGAAAAAGGAAAAAATTTTTACAAAAATACTGAGTAATACATTCTAACAAAACTGCCTTTTCACCTCGTAATAAAAGCCAATGCTTAACAATTATTTGGCTCTTACATGCTAGGGGAGAAATACATTAAATTAAAGCAAAACTGCCAAAGGTAAACAAAGAAATAGGATAAAATTAAAATCCTAAGTGCTCAGAAGACATCCAGTCAGTCTACAGTACATTACAGCTCCGTGATTTTTTTTCTTCTTTTTATGAATTGTAACCAAAGATTACCAAAATGTCAAGCGGTTCCTGTCAAGCTTTCTCTTTTTCTTTCAAAGGTCACACAAAACAGTTGTCTACCTTTGAAAGATATAATACAATTCTACCCAGGCTACAAAAGGATACCTTAAGCTTTCTTTGATGTTCAACAATTTAAGGCAGCCCTTTATTACCTCTTCAGTTCAAGAAACACTTTTAGAACACCATAACATCATTTGACACCCAAGCTCAGAGTGTTTTTACCCTATGTGGTGACTGTATCCAGCAAAAAAGCTGTGAGATTAGACTACGTGCTCTGCAGCATCCCTGGGTAAGAGATAGGCAGTAAAAAAACATGCAGTATCTACTGTATGATCTGATGTTCAGAGAACTCACTGACAGCCTGCCTGGGACACATTTCACCACTGCACCTGGTCTAATACTGCTGACTCACCGATTTGACCAATCTACTTCACAGCCGGGGCGGACTGCGCCAGGACGAGGTCAGAAAATCATAAATGAGTTAGCATTTTTGCAAATGTTTTCCAAAAGTAAATTAGATGTGAAGATTAGTATTCAATGAGATGCCTGAAATAAGGGTTGTGCCTAATAAAGGCTTAAGAACTTGTTCTTGTTTTGTAAAAAAAAAAAATATTTTCCCCTTTTAAAATGTTCTTTGGCTTTGGTTTCTTCAAAGCTAAATCCCTGTTTATATGGAAAAGTTTCTATCTTTACCAAATATCTACCATGGAATTGGTTGGGGTTTTGATGTATCCATTCAATAGAGGGTATCTCTTAACGCACTAAATCGAAAAACCAAACAGTTTCTGCTCAAAATAGCATATTCATGTCCTCAGTGGTTTTTTAAACGGTTATTTCAAATATCAAGATAAAAAAAAAATAAGAGTCTGAGGTATTTTTCCACTCTCTCAAATGTCTTTTTAGTGACTCTGAGCTGTGAAGAACGTAAGCTGTCAACAAATGTCCCCTCTTACAGAAACACAGATGAACCCCCAACTACCCCAGGCAACAGAGTTTGGGGGATTTTTGTTTCTGTCAGTATAGAATTATAGTCTAAGGTCACTCACATAGCACTTCAAGGTTTCTTTGAGCCAGGAGGTCCTTCGCAGCTGGGTGGTCAATGATGCAGTCCACTGGTACTCCATCATCCTCTTTGGTGACAGAAAATCTCACCCGGCTGGTGACAGTAAACATCCTGTCATACGTCTCCTCTACTGTTGTCTCACCTGGAAAAAACATCAAAAGCATGATGGCTAAACTGCACAAAACTATCCTGCAGCAGCAGCAGCAACCTGCAGTCATCATAACAAGCAAATACTCATATCTATTTAAAGCACATTACCTGTCAAAGTGGAGGGCTTTCAAATGGCATTTACATTTAATTTATGATTTGGCGATGTGGTGCCCGAATGAGACCTTAGAGGATTGAGACGATGCCCGGGGCCTTCGATTATGACGAGAGGAGAGGGAAGGAGCGGCGAGGTCATAGAAGCCCGATAATGAATGCTGCTGCAGCTCGAGGGCTGAGCATTGTTGGGGCTAACCCTGCAGTAATCTGCTGCCCACTAGGCCCCGGGCTGTCAGAGGGGCATTCATTTAGAGAGCATTACAATGCCACAGGGGCATCGCATTAGCTGCAGTGCTGAGTGTGATGGTTTACTCGCACTTAATGAAGTGAGGAAATAATTACAGCCCTGCTCTGACCTGCAGCACACTTCCATTTCAGCCTCGTCACAAGGGAGCTCGGACGGACTCAGGCAGGGCAAAACACTGTTGTTCCACACTTGATGATCACCAATACACACATATGTGGCCTCTTGATGGATATTAACCCCGCGTAACACACACCCTTCCACCCAAGACCTGCCGACATAAAATTTTAAAGTAGAAGGGTGGGTAAGTGGTCACATAAAAACCTGACCACTCTGCCAACTGCGGTGAGAGAACAGGCTGTTTGAAAAGCACACTGACAGTTAGTTCTTGTTCTTTCAGCAGCATTATGATAATGACACTAGAAAGCAAATGGCTCTCATTTGTCTGAGTTTTAACAGATTAAATTGGATGGTAAACAGCAATGGCTAGCATACGTTTGATTTAATCACATTTATGTACATCGAAACCCACAATTAATTAGGCAATGTGCTTACATAATAGTATATCATAAATACTGCAGGTATAGAATATGTATAATGTATTACATTTTATGTCCTTCTGCAAGTCTGTTATTAAAGTCTAAATCTATGTGATTTGATTTTAGCTCTGCAAGCATTAACATAAAAATGAGTTCATCCCAACCATCTTTAGTTAAAGTGGAGTACTGTGATCAGAAGCAACGCTCACAGAACAATGCCATCCTGCCCCCCCCCCCCCCCCAAATAGCTACCAAGTTTCCCAATAAAGGTTCCATTGTCACTCTGCAATCACAAAGGCTGAAATGCTGCACTGGGTTGCATTTGTAAGGTCAATGAGGGCGTCTCTGAGCACACCTGTTAGGAGAGTTGGGTGAAGTGGGGGATTAATTGGGGGGGGGGAGTGATGATGAGTCATTATCCTCTCAGCCAGTCACAATAATTGGCTCTTACCAGTCACAGCGCTGCATTATTGTAACGGCTCAGGAAAGAGGACATAAAGCAGATGTGGTAGGCTTGGACTACACGGTGATATCATTAACACAATATTTATCTGGGTGGTTTCCGATACCCTGATGTATTTATTATAAGACAGGTAATGCATATAGAATCAAATATACTACTGCTCAAATATAGTTGTTATAACACATACTTAATGTTCTCATTTCATTAAAGCTGTTTTGTCTTTAATAATTGGTAGAGAGAGAATATAATTTTTCAATGATTAGCTAACTGTTGACCCAGCTAGCCGCCATATAAGTCTTCTGTATCATATACTTTGGAGTAACACTTGGGAGGCAGTTACTTTCTCTTAACATTCTCTTACTTTCTTTTAACATATACATGAATATATATATATAAACCTTTGGTGATACTTTGTAAATGAAATATTTATTCTTCAATTTTGTGTTCACAGTTTCCAGTTCCAGCTCCTGTGATTAGTTTTAAGCAAGCATCAGACTGTAATTAATACTTTATCTTTTTATATATATTTTTCTTTTTTTTACAGTTTATTTTCTACCTTTTTGGCCTTTACTGGACAGGCAAAGCTGAAAAATTATAAATATGTGGAAGTGGAGAGTAGGGGAGGATATAAACCACTTGGAAGCGGCTGAGTTAAACCAGCGATCAGCATGTCTCTGTACATGAGGTGCTTGCTCCACCAACTGTGCAAAACCAGTGCCCCAAGATTGACTGTTTTTTACATCAGAATGTTTGATGCCACAGAGTTGGTGTCATACGAGAGGATTTTTTTTTTTTTGTCTTTAATTTTCAATTTCCAGCACAAATATTCACAGTGAGTGATACATTTGACTGTTAAAAGGAGGAAGGATGATATGTTGATGGCAGAAAACATTACGAACGCAGGGCCAAGACAAGATCAGCAAAGGGACAAGACGTTGTCCAAAGGGGGTGCCAAAATCAAGAAGAACAAAAGTACCACAAGGAGCTTTAAACCCGTAAATATAATCTGTATTTAAAGCCATAATAGAAGTGTTTGTAGCCTTCTACAATTCTGTGCACATACAGTGTGAGAGTAAAGTGGTGGCTTTATCTGTGACTTTAGAAATTTAATTTATTGGTGGAGTCACTGAAAACATTTTTTCGGCCTACAATCCATTTGTTCAATGAAAGTAAAAACCAAAGAAAAAGATCTTCAGCTATTACATAGGTCTGGTTAGGTTTCCTGTGGTATGTCCTGCCTGCACTATCCTTGAAGTCAACTCATGTTTGCTACCATCACTGCTGATTTTAAGGCAAAAATAGAGCTGCTTTTTCACAATGTCAAAAATAGCATCCTGCCTCATCTGCTGGAAAGTCCCATGCTGACGTACCTCACATTTGCCCTCTGCATCATCTAAAATACCAACGGGACAGGCAAAGCACATTTCAAGGTCAGAAAAACAGCACTGCTTGCACTTGTCAATTATTCTGTCAATTTATTTTGACTTCTAGTATCATTCTTTTTCTTTTGGCAGGAATCTTTTTCCAAATTAATTCTGATATAAAAAAAGTTTTTTCAAACTTCTGACAGTTCGGAGTCATGTTTGAAGATCAGACTCATACACACAAGGTTATTATCCTTGTACGGGCCAACCAACACTTGTCAATTATCAGTGTCATCCAAACCCAGATGAGGAAAACAACTGTGGATCAGGTCGCGGAAGGACTCAAATTTGAATGCAGAGGATATTTGAGTGTTGCAGCAGAGACGTCAAATCAAACGCTCTTGTGAGCTTCAACCACTGATCAATCCCAGCGCAATCAAGCGTAGCCTCTTCTCAGGGTGACATTTTCTTTCAGTCAGTTTCTAACCCGAGTCCTCTGCCTGCCAACACGCTGAAAAGCAGCCACTCATCAGGCTGTTTGAAACATCGCCTTGACGGATGTGAAGGACTGGTATTTCCGTAAGTAAAGCAGCCTACAATTAATATAATATAGAAGCTAAATTGCACCACGCCATACATTGGTTTGGGATACCAGTTGTGCCAATAAACACTTAAATTCAGATCTAAATATCTGAAGTTTGAGTGTGATATCAAAGCACTCTTTTCAGAGGGTTTATGCACTGTAATTAATAATTGTATCAATAGCTGATACATCTTTTAAATCCTCTAACCCTGTACAGAGCAGTTGCAGAAAATAAAAAGGAGGAAAACTTTTTTATGTTGTGGAAAATCTTTATAAATTAAAGAGCAACTCCTTTCATTTATTTCAGGCAAAATACGTTTCTTATATCTTATTTTCAAGGCTTAGTTAATGATTCACGTTGAAGAAAACCATCAATTAAAAGCCTTCATAAATAGTTTCTTATTAGAAAAGTTAGTTGAATATTTCTTTAAAAAAGCCATTAAACACTTCAACTGAAACAACCCTTCAAGTGACTTGAGGTCATGTTTTTCTTGTCATTCATTTTTTTGTTTTAAAGTATTTTGTAATTTCCTGTTTTATTTTGTAATTACCCTTGTCTGTCTTTCAGATCCTGCTCCCTGTGTTTTCCCGCCTTGTGCTCCCTCGCCCTGATTGTGCTGATCTATGTGTCGTTAGTTACTCATGAGTCTTCTCGCGGTTTTCGACCATTGCCTGCCATCGATCCTTCAATCATTCTCTACATTCACTTACTTATTTTTACTGCAGCAGATCTCAATGAATAGCACTTGCTAAGATGTCAAAATCCTTTTTTCTCTGAGGAGATGGGCTTTGGTCAAACGCTCAAGTAAAGGGAGTAAGTGAGTACTGAGTTTAGATGCAGTATTTCAATCTCAAATAAGAATCCTTAAATAGAGGACTTTAACTACTGCCCTCAAGTGCTAACAATATTCACACATGTAAAAATTAAATCAAGCTTATGAAGCTTTGAGTTAATCTGCTAAGTGATTCCTGTTGGACTTTTTTGACTGAATATTGATTGCTTTGATAATCCACAATCTTTCAAAGCTGATTTTTTTAACAAATGTGTGTGAAAAGCATATCAAAATCAAGATGTTTCCTCCAAATACAAACTTAATGACAATAGATGAATAAAGGAAACACACACAAGTTCTGCAGATTTTTCACAGATTCTGATAAATCCTCTGCATGCACTCGTACCCGATCATGCACTAATTTCAAAACACATAATATAAAACTACCCAACTGATTGAACAGGCATTCCCCCTGCTCGAGCAGCAGTGGGAGTTACACTACGGGGCTCCACTACATTTAAATAATAACTGTCACTAATGCTAACAAGCAGTTTGCCACCTTGTGTGTTGTGTCTCTCTCAGCCCATCAGTCCCCTCTCAACCTGCCAGCATGATAAATGGCTGCAAAACCAATTTGGCCAATTTGAAAGTGTGCTTAAATGAGCCGGTGGATCCCATTCTCGACACTACGGCTATCTCATAAGAAAATCCCAGATTAAACATGCGATGTGTGCCATTTCATCTCAAAACTTGCAGCAGCTAATGAATTGTTTAGCACGTCCATAATGAGTAGTGATTTGTGTTTTCCTGGGGTACAGAAAGGCATGACTTTCTGGCTCTCTTTATGTATCCGCTGCCACTATGGATTAGTCTTGCTCAGCATGTCAGTGGCATTTCGCTGATCTAACCATCCTGTTGTCTCTGCCTCACCCTGCACAACACTCTGCAACTCATAAACAGAAATTGACTTCGACTCCTGTAGGGAACACTGGAGGCACAGATGGCATTTAGCTTCAGATTCACTCTTGTCTAAATATTTCATCTCTCAACAAGCCAAATGAATCCTCTCCATTCTAATACATATATAATTTGACAACAAGCCCAGAGTTATCCACCCTGTGTAAATCCAAAATGAATGCCCCCCCCCCCTTTTTTTTTGCTGTTCAGTAATGAATAATTGATAACCCCTAATCATAACTGAGAGGTAATAAGGATTTTTCACCACCACAGATTATATACCATTCTTTGCAATACCATACAGCCATCCAAGAGGCCCCAAAGAGTGAGGTGAAATGTGCAGATGTGAGCTCTAAAACTTTTTCAGTGTACATTGATTATTTAAAATACATTTTTAAATATTCTTTATAGAAATGTAAGGTTGTCTAGTCAACATCCTACCAGCTGTATGTTTACAGTAAATGTTTTAAATCCAAGCAAGCATCTTTGGAGTGAACATTCCTGGATAAAAGTCCCTTAAAGGCAAATGTTCAGTATAATTTATCTGAAATATAACAGCTATGAATTACAGCTCTATCAGATATTAATGCATGGTTGGATTATGTAGTAAAAGTGGTACAGCACATTCCTCCCACTGTTCTCAGGAATAATCTTTTTTTTTTTTTTTTTGCAGAACTTCCTATACATGTCAGCGTCATACCGTAATGCATTAATGTTTTAAAATGTTTTTCTCACAGAGGAAGCACCCTCAGAGAGCAGGACCTGCAGAGAAGTGGACAGGCCTGGAGCATGTGAAGCAAACTGTGGGAGGCTGTTATTCCACTGACCTGTCATTTCTTCCTCCCCTTTCATCCATCTGATGGAGGCAGCTGGCTTGCTGCCGATAGCTGTGCAGGTGAGCTCCGTCTCGTTCCCCTCACTGACCACGTCCTCGCGGGTTTCGATGATTGGACTGCCTGGTGGGACTGACACACGGCGACAGGAACGGTCAGAGAGACAGCATGCATGACAACGTTCATAGACTCAAACAACTTTTGGCAACACTTAATGATAGATGCACACAACACGTGTTCAAGGTTTGCTTCCCATCCTGATTTTCATCCTGTAGAATTATCCAAACCCCTTGTTCTTTAAAAATCATCAGTTACTTATTTATATGCCACCAAAAGGCCTTTCAGAAACTTAATTCAGAACATGCATTTATTCAGCTTCTCTGTTGTATAAAAAAAAAAAAAGCACAACCATACCTACCCTGGAGGGATTATTGTGATAAATGATCATTGCAAAGAAGTATCATGACATGACTAACACTGAGGAGACACAAGCTCAGGTATCTTGTTAGTAGCTAATCTAGCGTTGACAATAATGGTCATTTATTTATGTGTGATCTTTTGTTTGCTTGCGAACATCATTTTTTTCTGAATCGCTACTTTGCATTTGCTTAATGACATAGAGTGATAGACTTGATATAATTAGCACACTACACATATATTATTATAAGAATTATTTTAGGAGTAAGCAATGGCTAGTGCCTTAGCATGCATTCCTCCCGACAGCCAGCAGAGAGCGATTGTGCAGTTGGCATAAATAATATGTTTATCTCTTTTAAATAATTCCTGTTATGATCAAGTGAAGAAAATAAAGATAAAAGTAACCATGGCTCACAAAACAACATACATTTGTTAACGGTATAAGTTTAATCAAAACAACTGCTCTACATTTAAAGAGATTGATCAATGAAACTAGAGTCGGGTTTATTTGGCAGCATAAATGAATGTGGGATGTGTGTTCAGTCCTTCTGGCAATTTTGTCAGGCTGTATTTATGTACAGTGGTGCTTCGAGCTATATGCTCATATCAAACTGTTAAGGGGTAGCATGCTACTCATAATATAACAGCCGTCACACACAGCACTCAGCACTCAGCACAGAGAATGACCGTTGATGCCCCCCTCAACCTTTTTCCACTTTCTTTCCATCAGGCTGCAGGTACAGTACACTTAGATGGACAAATGCCTCTTTTAGCCAAAGTAATGTCACTTCCACTAATTCTGAGATCTATCAATCCATCCATCCATTCAGTTATCTATCTTGGGGTTCATCCTATGTTCCCTCTGCCCTCATTTCTATACAATTTTCTCCACATCAAAATTAGCTCATCCTGATGTTCCTTCATGGATTTTCCCCCAGTAGGCCCTATGTTCCCTCGTCCCTAAGTTCCCTCAGGCCTACATTCCCCCAGCATTAGGGCTGAACATAGGGTTGAGGGAACATAGAGATGCGCCCTATCTGGCATGCTCTCTAGCTACAACATAATACTTTTGACAGATTTCGAGTTTGTCTAGTGGACAAAAACTATCAGACTTAGAAAAACTAACAGATTATCTCTGGAATAAGTACCTGGGAAATAACATCTGTTGTAATGAACAATGTAGATTAGTTTTATGACAATTTGATGAGTCATAAAGGGACTCTACATTTAATTACTAACTTGAGAAGTGGTTGGATGTGGACTTAGGTTAATCTTTAGGCATGTTAACCATGCTCATTATATTAGCATTTCAAAATGCAAAGAAAAAAAAAACTAAGCATAAATAAAGTGAATGTAGCCCTGTCCTCTAGGCATTAGGTGGCAGTCGGGAAGGGGGGACAGAACAGTCCAACAAAACAAGGGTTTCATTCCCTAGTGAGACAAATAGTCAAAGCTGACTTTACTTTAAGAAGTTGACTGTTAGGCGTTATGCTTTTTACACTCGTAACATTACATACTTGTATTAATTATGTCTTATGTGGTGGGTTACATACTCAATATACATTGTGAAATTCAAACCATAAGTTTCATATTTGTAGTTAGTTTCTTGATCACAAGCCCTGCCTTTGTCAAACTGGCTCAAGGGTGGTGCAATTTGCTTGAAGAAGTCCATGAGGAGTGAGGTGGGCACGTCTTACTTTGTTCCCTTTTTCCACATTCAGGTATTTATTTATTTCCCAAGCATTATTAGATTGTTGTTTTTATTTTATTTTAGTTTGGGCAGGAGATCACCTTTGGTTGTCGCTCAGGTTACTTTGTTTCTTAGGTAGTTTTAGGTGGAGGTGTTGAAAGCGACAGGCCATTGCATGCTTTCTCGACATCTTCCCATCTTTTGTTCTTTTTGGCCGGGGTCTCCTGTCCCTTTTTTTTTGTGCTTTGATTTATTCTTTATCTTTTGAGCATTTTAGGGGGCATTTATAGAAATAACGACCTGGGTAACCTTTCAATCTGTAAAGCGTCGCCATGTTTTGAGCCTTGGTTTGAGCCTTGGTTTGAGCCTTGGTTTGAGCCTTGGTTTGCTTAGTTTATTAAGGAGGCCGTAACAGTGATAATGGCAGCTCCCACTATAACAAACCAGCAAAACCCACACTTAAAGTTTGCTCAGACATGGCCTATGACAAGTGAATAGTTTGTATCTGATGGGGCAGAGAGTAAAAATTCATTTATAGCCTACAGGCAATGAGTGTGCGATATTGCTGAGGGCAACACACGTTGGAGCTGTTTATATGAGACACCATCCTTACCAGCGTCATCCTTAGGCAAACATTATTGTGAACTAACTTTCAAACAGCTCCATTCAATAGCTGCCATTTGACTTAAACCATAAAACAGTGCTCACCATTTATTTCTGTTCAATTCCCAGCAATCCATCAAATAGTTGCTCAAATACTTCAGTGTGAAGTGGAGCGACAGACCATAAATTGCATACACTCACAGTCACTTTGTCATTTCTTCATTCCTGAGCAAAAATAATTCATGAAAGGTCCGTCAGTTCATGTTTTAAATCATCATGATTTATGCATCCAACACTCTGTTGAAAGATATGTTTGAAATTCTAAGCCAAAGCTTTATAGATATATGTGATTAAATCCTATGGCTGCATGTGAATACACAATAAAAGCATAAGGCGAAGCTATCCCTCGTCTCTTGTATTAGTCATGACGGCAAACTTGTTGACTTCATTTTTTCTCTCAAAGAGATAAAGTCGGCAGGGTGTTTATTTCAAGGACTCTTCAATGTAACCCTTGGTTCAGAAATACACTGCAGCTAGGTTTCAATTGTACAACTAGAGTAATTACTTTAAGTGCTTTTAATTCCTTTCAATCCCTCAGGATGTCTGCATGTATAATAAAGCTTAACTAGAGTCATTTCACTCCAAAGCATCAAAGTGTGGCACAGCTGACTCTCAATAGGGAATCGTTCGGAGCAGCCAAGTCAACATTCACCGGGATTCACAGAGTCAACACAGCTGCCAAAACTGACATGGTCTGAGCCATCCGTTTCAGCATCTGCTCCTTTTTTCGTTATGCTGTTGAGCTCCGCGAGAAGCTAATTGGCTGACATTTGTGTTTCAGTTTCTAAAGATAACAGGATCAAAAATTGGTATTATTTCATATTTTACTTAGACCTCTCTTAACAAAGAGGAATAGAACAAAAGTGTGTGGGGAAGGGTGTGATATGAGCGCGCAGTTCGCACTTGCACCATCACACGAGCACCCTCACACCTACCCAGGACAGTGATGTCTGCGTAGGCTTCCTGAGGAGGATCTGTGTAGAGCTGGCACACATAGCGTCCCTCGTCGGAGAGTGACACATTGGACAGAGACACCCGCAGTTCGTTGTCAGAGAAATTCACCAGCTGGAACCGGCTGTCCTTCAGAGCTGTGGGGATACATGCGAGACAGAGACAGTGAGGGTTACAGAGTACAGGAACACAAACGTGAGACATGATGGAGTGAGAGGGATAGCGGCGGAGAAAAATGGGACCAGGAGAGAGGAGCGAGAATGAGAGAGAAGACAAAGGAGACGCGAGGAGAAAATGAGATAGGGGGGGGAGAGAGAGAGAGAGAGAGGGAGGGAGGGAGCGCTGGCCTTTTGTGTGCTTTCTCCTTAATTGAGTAAAAGAAAAGTGAGTTTCAAAATGATTCATACAAGTTGATTTATAAAGTAGCTTTACAGTCCACGGAGCACTCGCAAAGACAGGGAAAGTGTGAAGAGTGCTCATGAGGACTCCTAACAAGCTAGGAACTCTTAAAGGGGGGCTGCTGCTGGTCATGGATGGATGCTTCAAACTCACATATTCCAAGAAAAAAGGGGAGAGGCATTCAAAGATACATAATGAATTAAATCAGAGTGCGGTACGAGGTAAGTGAGGAGCCTGGATGCATGAAACTGTAAATCAAAAGAAGCCAAGAATCTAGTATATGCCAGTATAGATTGGCTGGATTTTCTTTTAATGACGTCAAAGTAGGTTAGCCGTCTCCCCTCAGAGTTTTAACTCTGTTTTTCATGTGGGTCAGCCCTCTTCCCTGAGCCCTCTTTTACATAAACAGCTTTGCTTGATTTGATTGGGTGCTCTTTTGATGTTTTGACCTGCCTTCTTTATCGAGTCCTCTCCAAAATCTTTCTAGCTAACGAACTCTATTCAGGCCGCTGCTTAAAGCACAGGGAGTATGTAATTCCCTCCAGGCTTTACACTTAGCATCATGATCATTACCCAGGTCTCAGGGCAGTGTCAACATGAAATCCTCACCGCCTGTACCGTATATCATTTGAGAGCTCTTCAGAAGTCTCTCCTCAAAGGGAAACAATGACACTGATGCACTTTGCGAGTCAAAGCACCTGCTCAGGAGGGCAAACCCTTCACTTTTGAGACACTTAATGTATTTTATTCCAGGGGGTTTCATAACTAGCTGACTGCTTACATAAGAGCACAGAGGGCACACAGTTTTCATGAGCCAGTTTCTCCTGCACATTTCACTTAAATTTGTCTATATACTAAAGTGGCAGCAAATGATTGTTTTCATAGTGATGAATTTGTTGATTGTTTTCATGGTTAATCTTCCTGTCAACACAATATCAGCAAAAAGTGGGAAAAGCTTCTTCTCAAGACCCCAGCTGACATATACAGCGTGTTAGGTTTGTCAGATAGTTTAACTTGATTTTAATTAACATCTTTTTAGTGGCTAGATTCAATACTCTAATGTAAAAGTGCCTTCTCAATTAACCTCAGCTCTGTATGGCTTTAAGGATTTACAGCTAACTCTTGATTCTTCAGCCTGCGATATGTCAGCCCACTCACATCCCTCAAAGAGGTTTCATCGTTTTACCTCGTAGAGCTGCTCTAAAATCCTTCCATACTGTGCTGTGATTGGTTACTACTCATCACTTCAAAGTTTGCTCTGTGCTTTCGGATAGGGAGAACTTTCACCCAGGGGTACAGAGGACCACTGTTGGTGTCAAGTGTCAAAATTCAAGTTGTCTAAATGTGTAGAAAAAACCCGGACCTATTTTTTTAAACCTAACCAGGAAGTGTTTTAACCTAAGTCTAACCTCACTGTGATCATTTCACAGAGTTAATGACTTAGTTGCCTTGATAAAAGTGTCAATTTTTTTTTAACTTTATGCAACAATATAACCTGGTTAGATTTAGGTAAAAATAATGTGTTAAAATATTAAGTATGTGTTTAGATTTATTTCCACAATGAACAGTTGTCACCTAGGTAACACTTTTCGGCTTCTCTTTGCCAATCAAAGCAGGAAGGCCATTTTTTAAGGTTTCTTTTTGGGGCTTTGAGAGATAGGACAGCGGGTAGAGTCAGAAATCAAGGAGAAGGAGAGACAGTGAGGAATGACATGCAAGAAAGGAGACACAGGTCGGATTCTAACTCGACCGCCTACTTGGAGGACTGTAGCCTCTATATATGGGGTCCGCACACTAATCACTAGGCTATCGGCGCCCTGTGGAACGCCACTTTTTAACATAATTTAAAAGTAAAGCCTTTGACAGATTTGAACCGAAAAGTGAAACATTTGTCACACAATGTTCGACCACTCTTGAGAAAAAATGAAGTGAATAATAAACAATGATGTGATTTTGCATCTGCATATATAGAGGTCCACCTCTGCTGATAAAAGCTCATTTTTCCCATTTCAGATGGCAACTCTGCCAAATGACATGTCAGTTTGCATATATCTGACACAATAAATGCTCATCCCCAGCAACACTGGCTCTGCCTCTGCACCTATGACATAATTCATCTTTATTTTCTGCAATAGAAAATTTGTTTATTCTGTACTGTAAAAGCTGTTGTTTTGTGCTTTGCGTCTGCATCTCATTCAAAGTCCGGCTCTGCTTGTAGCTGCTGTTCTTGCTGCTCCTCGTGAGTCTGCATGTCGCTGCTGTTTACTCTGTTGTATACAAAGATCTGCCACTGTGTCGAGCGGCCCTGTTGACAGGTAACAATGCCACTGGCTGAGGGGGGTCCCCACAGAACCAGCAGTCCTCTAGGAACAGAGCCGAGAATAGCGCTGCCAGGGGATTTTTACTAAACCCCATTAGGAGGAACATAAACTAGCATCGGCGGCCCAATAACACTTTTAGTTGCCGGTCACAGTTCAGATTTATATTGGGATCTAATTACAGATAAATGAAAAAACTTTTGTGATTAGCAATGCCAAAGAAACTGCATTGACTAAAACGGAGAAAATGGCATGTTTACATCCTCACATGGAGCAGTTTGATAAAGAGAGCACAGGAAAAGGTTCTCTTAACCTCAGTGTAGCATTTATTAACAATAAGAACCATTGTTTCCAGAATTTTAAAGCTTATTATTTATAAACCTTCTATCTATTCCTTGTTGTTAGAATAAGTATTTAAGTAAGTTGTACAGCGCAACATGACCTGTACTTTATATGAATATGTTCCTCTCTGCCACTGTCTCCTGCAGCTTTGAGTGTTTGGTACAAATATGACGAAGATGTGTATCAAAACTCCCTTGATGCTCTTCGCAAGTGTGAGAAAATGGAACACACATCTCACTACCTCAACTTGTGAAATAACAGCTGGGATGCAATATAGACAGAAATGATGGGTGTTTGTGGTTCACCTTGAATCCTGGCTCTGATCCCAGATACAAACAAGTAAAAAAGCAGAGACAAAAACTCCAAGTGGAAGTCCATATGCTCATGCATAATCATAATGTTCAATATCCTAATCTAAGAGATTATCGTAAAATCGAACAGTGACAAGGACACAGAAGTATTCCCATTATGGTAGCTCTGTGAATTATCTCATATTAATCTTGCCGCATTCTGAGCTTAATGACTTTTGTTAATGAGCCAAAAAGTCAAGGGCAGATGGAATCATGTTTTCACTGGAATTCTAACCTAAAGCTGGAGGTGATACTGTATTGATGTCTGATACCCTCACTGTCATAGCCAAACCTGAGAGAATCCATTAGTCCAGGGGGCCTTGAATGTGAACAGCGTCAACAAGACACAACACTAAATTGTTTAGCTTAGATTTTCACAATATGGCGAAGGTATAATATATTTAAAAAATGAAAGAAAAAAAGAAGAAAGGAAGGGGCTCTACAAGGCACTGGCAAAAATGTTCTTTCATTTTCTTTTGCTTTTCTCACTCAACAGAGCTTGTTAGCTTGTTTAACAAAGTGGAGATAGCGGTGCATAAATATTATTCATATCCGTGGTTGAAAGGTGATGCTTTGACTTGTTAACAAAGGAGAAAAATGTTATTCAGCTCACCGTGAGCCATTTATTGACGAGCCATTGAGTGTTGGGTTTTGATTCAATAGGTCATCAATACAAAGCTCCACACTTCCATTTATCCACCCTCAGTACAAAATCACTAGATGTCATACAGTGTGAGAAAATGTGGTCAGGGTTGAAATTAAACCACGAGAGAAGCAGATCCACTATCTGATAAGACAAACGTGCTAGTCTAATGCTACTGAACTGATTTGTTTTATCTTTATATAAAAATTTACTCCTGACTTTTTGCGTAAATTGTAAAAGTTTTTGATTGATTTGTATGAGATGTGACACATGTACCTTAATTATGTGTCACTGTTTTTTTTTTTTGTTTTTTTTATGAAAAAAAAAAATGGACAGACTTGTTTAACTTTAGTAACGTTTCCCTTACAAATGAAATTTCTCTGCAAGGTCAAATGCCTCAATCACATTATATGTGTGCCAACATTCAATGAATTTGAAAAAAGTAAAATAAAAATATGAAAAACAGGATTCCTGAAGGAATTTCTAAGGAACTTGACGATTAATAAGGACAAAAAAGTATGTTTGTTTCACTTTGTGTTGAAGCACAAGGACTTACGTCGAACATCTTTGAAGTAGATGGTCTGTCTGTTGGGGTTGAGTAGCTGGATGACCGAGTCGTCGTTGTCCTTCACTCTACAGCTGATGGTGGCCATTTCTCCCTCAATCACAGATATATTGTCCGTAGCCAGGTTCTGACCTTCGACTTAAAAAAGAATAATGCAATTAGGAAAATTTTAATGTCAGATGGGAGACAAGCATTCCTACCAGTGTTAGAATTTAGCACCCACCAAATGCAGGTGTTTTTGTGCAGCGTTGGGTGAATATGCTGAATCTACTGGCCAAAGTGGCGGGTAAACAAAAGTAATGTAACAGGGTGATATGTGACAGAAAACAACGTTAATAGAATCCTAGTCTTCTGCTTGTTCCACGCTGACTTTATTACCAGAGCCAGGTGGTCCTGCACTCTCAGTTACCAAAGACCACCGCCCCCTCCTCCTGTCAGTGTTTACAATGATAGGCTATCTGCTAAAATGGTTTGGCTGGGTGTCACTTGAGCCAAGCGCAGCACACATTTGCATATCCATTACAACAGGTCTACTTGCTGAAGATGTGTTTAAAAGGATGCCTCCATTGTCTTAAGTCTAAGGTGATTAAAAGATGCGGGCTGTTTGAATCCACCAGCCAAAGTGGCAGGGAGGCAAATACGTTAATTCCCATCCCTGATTCATACCTGGATTTTACCAGCATTTCCAAAATTTAGATTTTTTTTTTTTTTACAACAGGGACTGCATGTGAACATATACACATTATATATGTTTGCAGCCATAACTAATCCCTTTAATATAAGAGCCATGTGCAATGTTTGTCACTATTGATCTCCCCCAGATCAGAGTGGGCCCTGTGAGTCAGTGCCAGATGGGCTGTAAGCTCTGCTGCCCACGAAGCTAGGGAGAGAGGAGAAAAAGAGACAAAGAAAGAGTGTAAGAAAGTGGCAAGTAGTAGATGCAAGAAGAGGAGGAGGAGGAGGAGGAGGAGGAGGAGGAGAAAAGGAAGAGAGGGAGAGCCCAACAGAGAGAGGGAGAGAGAACAGAGACGGGCTGGATGCTGTTTATGGTGGAGCTTTATCAGAGCCCTCCATCTGAGGATCCATGTGACCATCGTGCGCTCCGTGTGCTCAGCTGTTCTCTTCTGTGTCTCGAGGAATAAAAGCGCTGTAAGCATCTGAGTCACTCTCTGTACACATGCAGCCATTGTTGCCACAGACAGGCCCCAGTCCTTGTCGTTGTAACTTACACCGCACATCAAAAAGCCTGGCTTTGTTGCCCCCCTCTCTCACACACACACACACACACACACACACCTCTTCTTCGTCTGCTAAGAGGGAGACGAAGGAATCAAAAGTCACCTTGTGCTATATTTATCTGTCAGGAACCAAAAAGCATAAGGAGAAGGAGAATAACGTTTTAATGCCTCAGATTCACTCCAGCGGAGGAACAACACTCTCAGCCACCGCCCTGAGAAAACATCAAAAGCACATTTGCATGCCCGAGTTGTCTGACACCTCCATTGCATTCTGACATTTACAAAGTGGAGGAGAAAAAAACACCTGCATTTTCAGATAGTGATAATGGGAATAGACAGCCAAACTAACATGATTCAAAATGAACTCTGTGAATGCAGCAGGCAATGAGAAATTAACCTCCTGTGGAGAAAAGCCCCTCAGACCTGTCTGATGCAATGAGCTACCCGTTTCATTCCACTCTGCTGCCAGGGCTCCATCAGGACAAAGCGAAGTAACCGTTTGAAACAGGCTCAAATTAATCAAGCCCATCACGAGTTTACAGCTAATCCAAGATGGGTTATTTTGAAAATTAAATATATTGATATAATTTGATTTAAGGACACAGGTATGCGCACAATTTGATAATACAGTGATGGTTCATGATGATTCAGTTTTTACTTGGCAATACCTTCAACAGCCACTAGGGGCATACTCAAAAAGTGACTTGAGGGAGAAGCTAAATTAATGCAAAGGGATCCCAAACTTGTCTGTTCTTTTTCCATATTAGCAGTGTTGTAATGGAGCAGTGAAAGTAAAATGTGTGTAAAGGTATGTAATCTAAAATCCCCTTTCTTTGTATTCATATTGAATGTGTGTTGCCACAGTAAAGAGCAAAGCACAAACACATAGTGAATGGATGGTGGTGGACTTCACATTTTGACTCAGCTATTACCAGAACAGAAACTGTTGCTGGGCCATTCTGCAAAACAAAAGATACGTTGATTGCCTGTGTTGTTTGTATCTAGTTATTTATTTGTCTGTGCATGGCATTTACTGTATAATATGCATAAGGGGACGATTGTAGCCAAAACAGCACTTGTTAAATGTGTCCAACTTGCTGTCTGTGAAATATAAGGGCACAGCCAGCAGCTAACACACTCTCGTCTAAAAAAGAAGTAGCCTGTTTAGTCTATCCCTGTTACATAGTTCCCTTTGTTCTCCTCAGAATTTGTTTAAATTCAACAACTTAGATAAAAAATTTCAATTTTCTTCAAGAGGCACTGAATTGAAATGTATTTCCTTCATCTTGTTTCCAGACTTTATGTTAGCAAAGCTGCTGGGTTTATCCAAACTGTCCAATTATTCAAGCCAGTCGGGTTCCCAGGTTTCCTCTTTGAGCCTCGGTCTCCCTCAAGTCTTTGCCAGTTGTCTTGTGTCATGCCAAGCTCTCAAGACACTAATTCCAGTTCTGTTTCTGTGACCTGTGACCGACTCTATGCCCTGTTTTCTGGACGACAAGCCCATGCCTGTGCCTCTGCCTCACTGCCTGACCTTTTGGGATTTTTGACCTCACTGTATTTGCTTCTGCCCTCGTTTCTTCACACTTGCTATCAAAAGCGCTCTGAAGAGACTTCTGTGTTGTCTGCATTTGAATCTTTTACACTGTGCATGACAATAGGAGTCAGACTTGCTAAATGCTGATCAGATGCCCCTAACTTTTAATTTGCTTTATTAAGAGCACAAAACTAACTTAAGCGGAATAAACATTGCCATTCGACATGAATCATAAGGTGCAGAATTGCCAAAAATGGAGGTCATTCAAGGATCGATCTAATATCGTTAGTATATTGTTTTTAACAGGCTTTACAGGGAGGGATGTGGAATGACAGACAGCACTTAGTTACTAATGCACAGATAGCCTTCAGCCCTATTTGATGGGAGTAAAGTAGTATAACCAAGGGAACTTCTTGAAGTTAAAATTGCTCCTGACAATTCCCATATCTGTTTTGTGGAGTATTTCTGCACAGGACAAATCTGTTTTGCTTCAAACAAATTGAAAATATCCCCTCGGCTTCATTTCTTCTTCCTTACTTAATAAAATACCTTGCCCATGAACATAGCCATGATAACCTTAAAGATATTCTGCACAATTTCTGCCAACACCCTTCTTACCTTACCATCTCAGAGATTGCACTCTGCTGATGATTTTAGGCTTGCTCTTTGTGGGAATTGGTAACTGTGTTGTGAAGCTAGATAGATTTGCAAATTCAAAACTTTTATTCATGATTGCAAAACAAGGGAAGAGGCGTACAACACGAAAAACCTTGTGAATAAAAAAATAGTACCACAATGCAGATTTAATGGGCAGCCATTATCACATGATCTCTGCAGGTTGTTGAAACATGAAAACTAAGTTTTGGTGGAATTTTTAATTTGCAAATTGAAGGCTGGTCAATGATGGCGTCTGCAATCATTACAAATTCTTGCAAGCCCAGAATAAAGAGGGATTTATATTGGCTTTGATTATAAATGTTTCCCCATCAACAACAAGACCTAGCTCTGTTTAGGAAAATTCAGAATATGAGGATGAGTCAATAATTCGGATGAAAAAAGTAAAAATAATTAAGAGGAACAGATCAAATGATCCACATGTGGCGATTTGAAATGTGTACGTTTGTGATAATATGAAGTGTTCTGCAGCTCTTCTGTGTGTGTTCTAAGTACCGCAGAAGATGAGGCAACAGCAATTTGAAGTGTTTTTGATGTCTTTTTTATTTCATCGCTGTAAAAGTAATATATTTGGCAGTCAAAACAGCAACACAGAGCATCCTCAAAGCAAGGTTATTCTGTTCCCAATCTGTTGGACTGAGAGAAAAGGGAGTGCAATAGATAAATTCTCCATAAGGTTTAGCAGCCCCAAGCAAGGTTGGTCCCTCTCCAATATCCCAGCCTAGGCTCATCTCCAATTCAAAACACACATAAATAACATCGCTGTGATTAGCAATCCCATCAAAATGAAAACAGGCCACTTTGTGGAACATGGAGGGTTTTTGCAATTGGAGTAAACATTTTCAATTGCCTCTGCATCCTGGTCATGATGGGTGCAAATGAGGAGAGGCAGTCATTAATTCTTCAGGGTGGTGGGTTGGGGGATGGAGAGAGGAGTGGGCAGAGGCATGGCACAGATGACTGGCTGATAAATTCACACTCATTCCAGCAGCTGTCTGGAAGAGCAAAGTGCCTGTATCTGTACACATGGCTACCCTCCTGTTCCTGCATCACAACATACTGAATGAAACAGTCAGGAGGAAATACAGACCTACAAAAAGTCTGAGGGGACTTACAATCTGGCATCGAGTGTCTGGCGCCAACGCTCAGCTCATCAGTCGCACTCAAAATGCTAAACAGCACGAACGGCCGACCAATTTTTGACAAAAGTTGACGAAATCGAGAAATATTAGCAGAGTGGCTCCTCCAGCAGAAGTTCGGGGATGGGCACCTTTGAATCAAGTCGGCTCCAGCTTTGAACTTTCCGCTCTTGTTTTTACATCAAAAGACATGAAAGAGTTGGCAAAAAAAGAAGAAGTAAAAAAACACGACAGCCAGCCCCCCCAATTCCTCTTCCTTGAGTCACGGCTGTCTGCAGCAGTCATGTCCTTTCAAGGAACAACCAAGACTATAGACAGAGTCATTAACAATAAAAAGTTTCTCCCTCTCTGTCTTTCATGCTGCTTTTTTAACTGCTGCGTGTCTTTACCCCGCTCAGTCGTTAAACCCTTATCCACATGATGAAATGCTGTTTTAAGGATGTGCAGGACAGAGAAGGGTTCTATCCGAGGGTATAATTAGTGCACTGCCATTTCTCCCAGACCCTTTGCATGGGAAGGTTTCAAAAATGTCACTAATTTGCCCATCTTTGTTTTTTTGCCGACCAGCTCTGTTGGAACTGTTTTTAAAAATGCAAGCACGACGCTGCAATAAGGCTGTACAACCTGAGAAAACATTTACGCAACTCAACTATTGAAAGGTATGTGTTGTTTGTCAAATGTTAATAAAATTAGCGACAAAATGCAATGTCTCTCTGCCACTTTCTAATGAAGCAGCTTTCAAGGTTTATTCATTTGTCACTCTTTGCGCTGTCCATATTTATTTACTGTCCATAGTCTGGATCAACCTACTTTGATCCTGGCATCCTAAAGGGAACATTAATAAATATATAAACAGTTACTAGTTTATAACCCACTTATAAGGCATTACATGCAACATGTAAACCAAGACCAAGGACGCTGACAAATCAGCCGTCGACATTCACCGTTTTTCTGATGTGCTCACATTTTTCCGGTGCAGAAGAAAATAACTTGAGCAACGAAGTGAAACAATTTCAGAGAATTAAAAGTGTTGAAAGTGTTACAAATCCTGGAGGGGCAGAAAGTCAAGATGATGAGCATGTGTTGATCTTTCATTAAAAGGTGGTACCAGCACTTGTCAATTAGTGGTGGGAAATATGACCTGAGTTTGTTTCCTGCAGGGGTTGTTAAGCTGCTGTATAAAACACTAGATTTCCTGATATTCATAATAAAAGCATTTCAACCTCTTAAAAAATGGAGAGTTTCAATGTGAAATATTTTTTCCAGAAATAGAATGTTATACTCTTTCAAGCTTTAAAGGAGCTACAATTAGCAAAGGTTTTCAACAACGCTGTCGTCAGTTTAAGTCTTTACAGCCACTTCTTTGACCACGTGTCACGGCCCGCTTCTTTTATCATCTTGGACTTAATATACGCAAGACAGTAGTTTAAACACACCTATAAGCAGGTAGACCTATTGTAATGGAGATTCAAATCCACTCCAGCCCCAGACAGACTGACAGAGATCCAGCACACCCACTTAGTGTGGCAGTTATTTGTTGAAACTTAGAGAGGGGAGAATACACCTGATTGCTGTGCTACAATTCTCTATAATTGTAAACTTTGACATCAGCACCGACAGGAGGAGGTGCTACCCTGTGGTCAGTGAGTGTGTAAGACCACTGGCTCTTCTCTGAACATCAGAGTGAAACAGACAGAAGACCAGGGGACTTGACACGAGTGTTGTCTGTCACAAATTACAATGTAACGCTACTTTCCTTTACCCCCCACTGTAGCTGATAGGTTGCGCAATCGGTGTGTGCACTTCAATCAAACACCTGTGTTTAACTATGAGCTACTAACAGTGTTTGCTCTAAAGTAAAGTGTCTGGAAGGAAAGAACTTTAAGGGTGGATGCTAAATGTGGCATCATGTTATTTGTGTTTGCATAATTTACATTCTCCTGCGATGTGCATGCAGTTCTCAGCAGGCATGCATTTCTTGGCACGACATGATAACAGTTTACTGCCCACCCTTACTTGTGATGTGTTACATATATACACAGGTACACTTCCAATCAAAAGTTTGGACACACAACAGTAACAGCATTATCAATAATACAGCATACTATATTATTATAATATAGCTATTGTAAGCTGTAATTAGGGCACACACCTAATAATAGAAGTGTTTTTCTATAATTTTACTATTATTCACATTTTAGAATAATAGTAGATATTAAAACATCAAAAATAAATCATTTAATTTCTTCTTTTTGGAAAGAAATGCATACATACATAGACAGCAACTTCACGATTTCTATTAATATAATAAACACATGTCAAACATTTAAGTATAAGCCTTTAGATCAAAATGTATTTAAGATAATAACATGCATTTCAATTAGGTGTGTTCAAACGTTTGACTGGTACGTATATATATATATATATATATGTACCACACTGTGTTAGACAGTAAAGAACAGAGACGTAAGTGTTAGTAAACCTCTTCGAGTGTGATGCTGGTTTGCAGGAAGGCATCAAAGAAAGGAGGAGACAGTCACACACTCAGCTCTCAACAATGACAGGTCCAAATGTTGTGTGAGTATAGTGTGTCAGGTTTCTCAGGCTTACTTTTTACATCTATATTAGGTGAATCTTTAGCTGGCTGCACCACTGTAAGGATGGAACACCAGCTTGCACTTTGATCACGAACCCAATAGTTCAACAACTTCTGTATGGACATTTCTTTACATCATATTGTAAAGTACTTTAGTGTGTTAACAAATGTACAAATCCAATAACTGTTCAATCTGTCTTAACCTTCATTGTGTCACAATCAATAAATAGCATGCTAACATCTGAGGGGTTGAACAAATAAACAAGAGAATTGCCAAACATTGGCAAAGTTCTTATCTCATTCTTAGCATGTTATCACACTGCTACTAGCATTAAGCTTAAAAAAGGAGCTGCTATCATATTTTAACACACAATCTTTTTGAGCACAAGAAAAAGTGACTTCAAGTTGTGTTCATTTTGGCTTTTTTGTTCAAATTGATAGTGTGCACCTTTTAGTACAAACAAGTTCAGACAAACTAAAGTGACAACCAATTGGCCTGAACAGAAACTGAAATCTGCCATCACATGTGGCAGAATATTGATTTGAGAATTTAAAAAATGAAAAAAAGAGTGGATCTGCATTGACGGGTGCATTGCGCTCTCCTCCTTCCATGTGCAAAAGGAAATACCAACAAAACCAGCCATTCATGTAAATATGAACAGATGAACAGCCTGCTACGGACAGCCAATCAACAAACACACAGAGGCAAGCACTTCCAAATGAACAGCAGGTAGCAAAGAGAAAGAGTACCTGTCACGATTTCAGCAGCTCCTGTAGCAGCGCGGGCAAGGCGGGAGCAAAGGAGAAGAAAAACAGACAGGTTTGTGAGCAGACAGGATACAAGCTGAGATACATTTACATTTGGTAATAACTAAAAAAAAGACAAATATGATCTAAATACAGTTGTTAAATTTAATTAAATCCAAGCTTCATATGCTGTTGATGTAATTTTCCACCAATTAAGAAGAACACAAACAGCATCATAATGAGTCATTTATACAATACAGTCTGTCTATTTTTCTACAGGTGTGTACATAATGGGCCTTTTTTTTTTTTCTCTTGCTCCATTTTTCCCTGACAGAACATTAATATGGAGGAACAGAGGGAGTGTGTGGACTTTGTTTTCTCTCTCCCTCAAGTCCCTGATTGAGATTCTCGCCAGCTTCCCACTCTGGAGCAGCCACAGCCTGGAGACGTTCCCCCAGGATTTGGGGCGGTGTATCCTAGAGAGGAGAGCACCCGTTCGGAACGGTGCCCACCCAAACTGGCATTTCACAGGGCATGGGAGACTGGCGTGTTCCCAAGTCCCCGCAGCAGTGCTCAGGGGCCTGCACCCTTGGGAGAGCTTCCATCATTCATTGTCTGCTATTCATAAACAACCCTCACTCAAACACACACCTCCACACTCCACACTCCACACATCCATATCTACATTTCTATTTTTCACATAGTGTCTTTTACTATATTGACATTTCAGTGACTCTGGAGCTGCTTCACTGTGTACTGTGTGAGCAGATGAGCTCCAGTACAGAGCGCACAGTATGTCGAAGTGACTGCCGGTTTCGCCTGTCATTGCTGACCGTAATAATGGTGTAAGGTATGACACATGTCCTTGTTACAGTCCTTTGTGCATTTTCAATGTGTCAGCAATTCCCTCGGGACAAAAAAAAAAAAAAAAAGGTTGAGTTACAAATCACAAGCAATGGGAAACAAATTCTTAACACTGCCCAGGAGCCTGAAAAAATAAATCTCAGCGCCTTTAAAACTTCCAAGTGTCAGTCAAAACTTTGTTTTTATTATGCGATAATTTAACATAATGAGGCTTCTGGAGCGATTTGAATTCGGTCGAAAGTGATTTAGAGAAACAAAGACGCTGATGGTCACAAGTGAGCGTTCTGCCTGTTACAAGATAATTTTAGCTAGGAAGTTGATTTAAGTGATGGTTACACCATACAATAGGAATGGCATGCATTCCTAGCTAAAGTAATGTTAGCTTCTTTCATTTTTAAGCTAGGAATTTGTTGGAAGATAATGTTAACCGTTATCTGCGGGTAGCCAGCAGTTTTCAGTCTTTTTGTTTCATTCTGAAAGAGGCAGATGTCCCTGCAGGTTTTCAAATTTCCTTTTGAGTATCTTCTTGATAATCAAGAAGCATTCAAATGATTCTAAGATTCTCTTTATTTATGACTCACACAGTCATGTGTGCTTCTTGCGCTGAGCATGACAATAAATGGGAAAATGGCCGATGTCTGAATATGTTGAATGAGGAACCCTGGATGCGTCCAAATCCAACCGACCCTCAGGAAAGCCCATAATGAGGCTTTTGAGCTGCTTTAATTGCCAGGTAATTATAATGTTGTAGCAACATTATGTAAATGAGTCATTATCATCTTGTATGTGCGGTGTGGTCTGCCCTCATTTTGTGTTACTTTGTCGAGAATGTAACCCAGAAAAATGAATCTCCAGAATGCTGGGGCCATCTCAGTGTTTAATCTTGTCAACAGGGACCTATATCTAAGCAGAGCGACTTGTGATATAGTGTGGTGACACCTTGCCTAACCCTTCAGTATGATCCACTTCCTGCTGGTGGCCTCTGAAACGGCTATATATAGCGTTGTGCTCTGCTTTTGTGTGTGTGTGTGTGTGTGTGTGTGTGTGTGTGTGTGTGTGTGTGTGTGGTGTGCGTGTGGGTGTGCAGTGCTCCCCGTCTCTCCTCTGTACCTGCAGCACATTAGGTAGAAGTTATGAGGTGCCAGCTCCACTGTGATTAGATGTCATGGCTGTCGCTCTGCTTAGACAGCGCTGATAGACAGATTTCGGGGGGGAAATGTGTGTGATGGCATCCGTGCCAGTGCAACCGTTGCACCAATCTGTCAATCACGCTGGATGAGAGCAGGCAGGCCAAGCGTCCTCCAAATAATGTCTGTCCTTGTCTCCTCACCTCCTTTCATCCCCAGCGCGCTGCGTTCAGAGGCAGAAAAGTGGAATGTTTCCTTGCTAACAGTGCGGCCGCATTTCCTTCTGAAAATTGTTGACATTTGAAAGGGCATTTTCTGGCACTGCGTTATATTTTTCTATAAGAAGTGAGGCTCTAAGTGCTGTGGTATTCAGGCATGTGTATTCAAGCCATCACCACCCCAATGAATCCGTAGTAATCAGCACCATTTTTCTAGTCACTGAGGCAAAGTTAGATCTCAGGAGACTGGGTGTCTATGTGTTAAGAGTGGCACAGCCTGTCTTTCTGTCTATCATTGCTGCTCAGTAAAAGCAGTGGGGTAACACTAATGAGGCAACATTTCTTCTCAGTACTGGTGTGATGCCTTTGAATTAATGTTTTTCCTTTCAGGTAAAGCACTCCCTTGCTTATTTATGCTCATGATCTGGAGCGTGTTGCATGTGTGATTGCACTGTATTTGAGGACACACCAGAGCTGGATGCTGGAACTCTGTGTAGTTCCCCATAGAGATTCAGCTCTGTGTGAGTGTGTGTTTGTGTGTGTGTGTGTGTGTGTGTGTGTGTGTGGAGCGTTGATGTCTTGCTGTGTGTAGCCCACTGTGTTTTCATTTAATTAGAGGGATTAGAGGTGGGCTTCAAACTTTTTTTCTTCAAGGAAATGGGATCGAGAAGCGAGCTCCTGCAGAGTGGACCCGATAAACATGGGCGGCTTCTGAGGTCACGACTGTCACAAAGAAAAAAGGATCAGAGAGTTTCACTGTCCTCGCAAAGAGGGAAAAAAACGGAGTCCAACGCCTTACACCAGTCTTTGTTGTGATTTTCGAAATCCACATGAAAGAAATTGTACATTACAGATACATAAAGGCCTTATACTTTGCATAGTTAAACTTCGCAGGACAACACAATGCCCAACTTACTGTCAAGTTTCCAGCAAAGATTTTAAACAACACAGTGGGATAGCTACATCTTCATGTCGGAGAGAACAGAGCACACACCACAGTAGTAATTATTATTTGTTCATAGAGTTGTTATTAAGACAAAATGCCGACTCAGTCACTGACTGCAGCTTCTAACATTTAACTATTTTATTTGTTGCGTCTTTTTCTTTGGAAGCCAAAAAATATTCTAGCTTGAATGGTTATTAGACTAGCAGTTATTTTAAGGGGATCTGCGCTTTAAAAATGTGACTCACTGTTTTCCAATCTTAAACAGAGCTAACTATTATATGAGGATACATTTAGATTAGATTTTATATGATCAAATACATATTCCCTTGAGCAATAGTGCAAAAATACATAAAGCTTAGTGCAACTTCAATTACCATAAAAATAAGCGACACATTAAACTGGCAACCACAAATACAAATCATAAAGAGAATAAAACTACAAGACAAAAACCTTAAAACAGCAATAGTTTAAATATATAAGAAACAGTAAAGACTTAAATGCTACAAAAAAATGAGAGTATGTGAGAATTAACTAGACTAAAGAGATCATTTATGACTTTCTTTCTTAAAGTTATTTCTAAGGCCTTTTTGCCTTTATTGGATAGGACAGCTGAAGTGAGACAGGAAATGTTGGGAGGACAAGAGTGGGGGGTGACATGCAGCAGGGCCGAGGTGCAACATGGACTTTAGCCCTAATACATATCTTACTCCATACAAAGTGAATCTCTTTTTGTGAGAATTTCCTTATTTTTCTCAGGATTCATGAGAAAGAAAGGTAAAACTTAATAGAGATATCTTGTGAATGTATAGTATTTAATGTAGAAGGTAGTCACAGGTTTCACCTGTCCTGCAATGTCTGTGATGATTTAGAGATCAGATAATCATTCATGGCTTTCTAAAGTGATATATTACTTTGGCATCAGAGTTCATTTTCCTACAGTATAATAGAGCCAGAAGTTACGCACAGAGTGAGCTGTATACCTGTTACCTGTGCTACGGCTTGGACTTTACATTTACAAAGTCATTTTCATCGAGCATTTATAAGGTTTAAAGCTAATGCTAAGAGGAAATACTGTTAAAATGGTATGCAGTTGAACGCTCAGGGGGAGGGGAGTATTGTTTAACTTTACCAACTGGTGAAAGAAAAAGTCCTTAAAGTGCTTTTAATAAATTTAAAACAGCTCCTAAAGGCTCATTTCAGAAGACTCCTCATAACGACAAAATAGCAAAATAACATCTGACAAAAAAGTAAGAGCTGTGATTGTTTATCAAATGGGTGTTTCCAAGGTGAAGAATGAACTTGCTCGCTTAATACCTAAGGCTCATACTTTAAAAAGATGCCTTGTTTTCTCTTACAATGGTAAATTAGTGCATTATTCAGTCGTTTATTTACAGCCTTGACCTGCTTCTTTTATTATCAGCTCTCAAGTACGGCTTAATCCAGCCTGTCAGAGAGATATCAGAGAACGCTCACCTATAAACACTGCAGGGAATACACTGATTAATTCTCCCTACAGCTGACTGAAACATATTAATCAGGTAAGCTTACTGGAGATGCAAAGCGTGTTTTTGCTCGATAAACTGTGTTAAAAAAAGGAGATTTTGCAAATATCCCCACAGAGGTGGTTAATTGCTCACTGTTAATGGGATACGCTTTGTAGACATCCAATCCGTGGCTCGGATGTTTGTGTTGTGCTCACGGAAATCCAGGAGGACACGTGTAGCTGAAGACAGCTTCTACTCTCAGAGATTAAGGGATAATCCTTCAGAAATGCTGTCTGATAAAAAGCAGATATTGAATCTGGTGCTCTGCCTCCTTTTAGTGAAGTGCTGGGGGCATCTAGGATTGAACATAATTCACAAACACTGG